TAGGGTTCATCTCCACATGTCTGCAGTCATTGTTGTGTGTGCCTGGAGCCTCGAGAACAGGTGCTTCATGTACTTTGCTCTTATTTTTTAAAAGATATATATATATATTTTTAACATTTATGTATATGTGTGTGTATGCCACAGTATGCATATGGAAGCCAGGGGACAACTTGTCGGAGTCAGTTCTTTGTACCTTTATGTGGGTTCTATAGACCACATCATCAGGCTTGGTGGCAAGTGCTCTTACACACTGAGCCATCTTACCAGTCTGTACACTTTGCTTTTTTTCTAGAGCCTTCAGCTTGTCAGATAAGCTGTTCCCACCTTGGCTAGAAACAAGTATCTAAGGTTGCCTTTTCATCTACCAGAACAGGGGCTCAGAAGGGCTGTATGGTGAGCTAAGTGAAAGAGTGTCTGCACAGCAGCCGCTCCATCAGTTACTTCTTCCTCACCCATCAAAAGTTGAGTCTCAAAGGGCAGCCATCTCTGTTTGGTAGTGACTTGGATCAACTTAAGGACCTTCTAGGTCTGGAAACCTTGCAGTGGGCCCCAAAGTCAGCACCTTGTAGTGAAAGTACTGTCTGGAGGGACCTGAAGAAGGCTGGATTCTGACTGTGAGCTCCAACCATCTTAGTCACTGCACTGCTAGCCACTTCCCCCAGTGCTTCCCTGAGCAAGTTACAGTGCCCCGCTCTCCTCTGCCAATAACTGATTAAAAAGACCCAGAGGCTGGAGAGATGGCTCAGGGATTAAGAGCACTGACTGCTCTTGCAAAGGACATGGGTTCTCACCCACATGGCAGTTGACAACCGTCCATAACTCCAGTTCCAGGGGATCTGACGCCCTCTTCTGACCTCCACAGGCATTGCATGGCACAGGTGCATTTACATACATGTAGGCAATACACTCATACACATAAAATAAAAATAATAAACATTAAAAAAAAAGTAGTGAAACCCAGTTCTAGCCAGTAAGATACAGAACCAGAAAAGCAGAGTGGTTTCTGGAAAGCATTGTCTCCCTTTTGAGTGGAGTCGTGGTAGTTGCTAAATCACAGTGGGACCCTTGAAGGGACTGTCTTGGTCCCAACCTGAGGATGGCAGACAGGACAAGGCCCCAGTCCTTGAAGACACCCTGGGCCGCTAAGCCAAACAGCCCCAAACCTTGGTCGGGCTCCATGTAGACTCATACAGGTTTGGGGCTGTTTGACTTAGTGGCCCAGGTTTGGGCTGTCTCCATGTAGACTCCATGTAGACTCATACAAGGAAAAAACCCTGCTCTGTAAGCCAGTTAGACTTTCTATTAGATGTGTTACAAGCATGGCCACTGAGCCAATCTTCTTGAGGGCTGAAGGTGCATGTGGAGAAGAGATCCTTTGAAGGGGCACTTTTTTCCTGCTAAGAAATTCTGTTTCTCCTTTAGACCAGGAAATTGGCTGAGGGCTGTGAAAAGACACTCAGTGGGGATTTGTAGAGAGCAGCTCAGCAGCCTCTTGGCTGTTGTGAACTCTTCCGCAGCTCCACACCGCCACCCCACACCTCCACGCCAGAGCCTGAGTCAGCTCTGAAGGGGCCACAGGTGAGGACCCAATGTCCCAACTCCAACAATTAGTTCTGCTGTTGAGCAAGGGGCAAGCTGATGCCAGGAACTTCCTTGAAATTTTGTGCTGAAATAGTGTCGCTGGGAGAAAATAATCAAAGTCCCTTGAGCTATAATCAAAGCAGTTGCAGATTACAAGCAATTGCCACAGTTTAGAGACAGATTTTTCTGATTAAAAATAACTTGTTCAAAGTTCCTTTTAAGGCCAGCAGAACAAGGTGGACACCTGAAATAGGGTTAGTAAAACTCAGGACTCATGTCTGCTCTTCACACCAGAACAGGAAAGCCCCTCCTTGGCAGGGCCTCCTTGCCCTTTGGAGCATTTATAAACCACATGTCCATCTCTGAATGGATTGGGAATGGGCGTTTATTGCCCCAACTCTTAGGCTGCCTGGAGAGTTCCTATCCTTGAAGAAATTCAAGCCCTGAAGAGTCTTCAGCCGGCTCCCATTCCTTTGTCCACTGTTCCCTGGCCAGGGTGCCCTGTTTTCCATTTGCCTACCTGGAAGACACCCTGGAGCCTCTTGATGTAAAATAGTCATTCATTCATTCATTCATTCATTCATTCATTCATTCATCCCATTCATCACCCTGGAGCCTCTTGATGTAAAATAGTCATTCATTCATTCATTCATTCATCCCATTCACAATGATTGAGTTCCCCAACTGTCCCAAGCCTGATTCTAGGTGAGGGAAGGATGAGGCAGTGAAGAAAAGTCCCCAAGAGTACGAAGAATGCAGGCAGATAAATGAATGTGAAGTAGAATCCGGGCAGTGTAAGCAAGCACCCTAACAAAACCCACTGCAGAGACAGGGTTATCTCTGCAAGAGCGGTCAGGGAAGAGGTAAAATACTTTTTCAAATGCAATGAGTGAACATTTCTGTTAAGGAAGCTTAATTAAGCCAGGCGTAGTGGCGCTCGCCTTTAATCTCAGCACTTGGGAGGCAGAGGCAGGCAGATCTTTGTGAGTTCGAGGCCAGCCTGGTCTACATTGTGAGTTCCAGGACAGCTGGGGCTACAGGGAGACCCTGTCTCAAAAAAAAGACAAAAAAAAAAAAAAAGAAAGCTTAATAAAGCAGGAAGCCAGCCATGCAGATATCTGGAGAAGATTCCAGGCAGAGGCAACAGGAAGCAAGATCTTGAATGAGGTTTGGAGACCCAGAAAGGACTGGTGTGGCTGGAAAGCTATCTGTAAGGGGAAGGACAAGCTGAGATCAGATCACAAGGGTCTTGCAGGCTGCACAGAGGGTTCGGAGCCTCAGGAGGGTTTGGAACAGGAAATAGGCTGAATCAGGTTTAGAGTGTCACTGTATCCTTGTAAACTCCCAACACACAGTCGGTGCTCTAGAAGGGTGGCTATTATCCCTTTTCAGCCTGGTGATTGGATCCTTGAACTGAGGGCAGGGTACTGAACAACGATTTCATGCTCCAGTACCCAGAGAGGAGGTGTAGAGCTGCATGGGTAAACCAGTGAGTCAGGGCATGAATGAACAGAAAGCAAGAGTTCATTCTGTGGACAAGACTCATACTCTTTTTTTTTTTTTTTTTTTTCGGTCTTTTTGAGACAGGGTCTCCCTGTAGCCCCAGCTGGCCTGAAACTAGCTATGTAAACCAGGTTGGCCTTGAACTCACAAAGATCTGCCTGCCTCTGCCTTCCAAGTGTTGGGATTAAAGGTGTGCATGCCTGGCTAAGACTCATACTCTTAAAAGAGCAGAGCACATGTTTGCCAGAGTGTGGTGGAAGCCTGGAATTGGCAGTGCAAAAGGTAAAGCACCTGTTTCACCTACCTTTGAAGCACCATCTAGGAGATGAAGGTACAATGTGGCTAGGCCCCAAAGGGCACCTACCAACCACCAGGCATGAGGTCAGGCAAACTCCACAAAGTGCCAGCCTCCAGGATGCTTAGAGGCCCACTCTGATTCCCTTTGGTGTACCAGGGAAACTCAGATGGTGGAAGCCAGCTAGGTGCCAGTGCTCCAAATTTCTGCTGTACTTGGAAGGTGGTAGAAGGTACAGAAGAATCATGGAGGCTTCCAATAAGAGCTGCAGACCAGAGGGGTAGGTGAGGTTGGCTGAAGATACTGGGAGTCTGGAGTGGCAGTCCTCTTCTTGCTGCTGGCTGCCTAGTGAGCCAAACTCTCCTCTGAGCCACACCTGACACCCCTCCCCACCACCCATAGGATAAATCCTTGGCCTGGCATTCCAAGTGTTTCCAACCTACCTGCCCAGCTCTGCCCATGGCCAGTGGCCACACTTCCTGCTGCACTGAACACAGCTGTGTTTTCATACTGTAGTGCCCATGTTCATGCTATTTGTTCTGCCAGAAAGTCCCTTCTCCAGACCCACATTTTATTTATTTATTTGCACTACTGGGATGGATCTCTCACAAGCTATCATTGAGCTACACCCCTAGCCAGAGTCCTGCTTTTTAAAACTTCTATCTACTCCTCAATAGCCACCCCAAGTGTCCTGATGTCAGAGAAGTCTCCACCTCCATCTCCCACCACCTACAGCTGGGGTGAACTGGACTGAGTTGGGTCATCTTTTTGGAGTGTCCATTATGTACCAGTGTGACCTCTCACCCTGGTAATTTAAAGGTGAACTTTTTCACTTGCAGATGAATGACAAACTGTATAATGGACCCTCATCACCCCACCCTTCTCCACCTGAAATCTGGGGAGGAGCCTTGCCTTGTTCTTTATCTTGTCAAAGTCTTGCACAGCACTCTAGCACACTCGGGTAAATGGGGTAAGGTCATTCACTGATACTGATAATTTGGGGTCTTGGACAGTGAATCACATGAGCAAAACAAGAGATGAATGGGTCCGTTCTCCTGATTCATGCATGAAGGGGGAGTAAAAGGACAAGAAAACATCACTGCAGAGTGATAAAGAGAAAATCCCCAAGGGGTAGGTGGGAAGCCTCTCAAAAGGGTGTTTGAGCCGGGCATGGTGGCACACACCTTTAATCCCAGCACTTGGGAGGCAGAGGCAGGCGGATCTCCGTGAGTTGAAGGCCAGCCTGGTCTATGTAGTGAGTTCCAGGACAGCTGGGGCTACAGGGAGACCCTGCCTCAAAAAGACAAAAAAAAAAAGAGGTGTTTGAGGCTTACATGAATTGAAGGAGCCAGACCTGTATCTGGAGGAAAATTGCAGAAAGGGAAAAACAAGTGCAAAAATCTTGAGGCTGGAACATGCCAGATAACATTTCATGAGCAGCAATAAGGTGTGTGGGGAGGAGCCATTGAGCTGAGGGGAAATGGGAGAGGCCACAAGGGCCAGCACAGGCAGAGTTTGGCCAGCTGTGATAAGGATTAGCAGTTTCATTTGTTTGCCTGTTTGCCAGCAAAGGTTTTTGGAAAAGGAAGTAACATGACCTAAATTATTTTTTGCTCAAATCAAAAGGTTTTTATTCTTTATCAAACATATATAAGACAAAAAGTCCCACAAATCATCTTCTGACTGAGCAAAGCCATCTGAGAATATTTCTCTGTTTAGAAACAGAGTTGTCAATTGCAACATGGCCAGTGGAGCCCAGAAGCATCAAAACCATCCGACAGGCTTCCTTTTAGAGGTTATTCTCACAGAACATGGTAACAATGGCCAGTGATAAGTCCTGAAAAACCATCTGATTCCAACTCTTATTTGTAAGATAAAGTTACAGCATCAGGCCACAACTTGATAACAATCATAAAGTCACAAGTTTCCAAATGGCATAGGGCAGTTACACTGGTGGTCTTATAAATGTTCTCAATTAAAAACAAGCAGGCCTGTACAGCTAGCTGTTTTCCAGTAAGAGCAGAGAAGGGGTACACAGGTTCTTACTCAAAAGTAGCAAAACAGAACACACAAGACATTAACTTTCTGCCCCTACAAGATTATACCTGGACCAGAAGAGAAGTTGTAGTATTGTTTTTCTTCCAGTTTACAAAACATATTCATGAAAAAAAAAAGTTAAAGATCAAGGACTCTCCCACATTATTTTATGTCCCTAGATTCTAGGAAACAGAAGACAAGGCCTTTCATGAGCTGGAGACAGCTCTGCATACCAGGAGGGCTTGGAGGGGCTGGGCAGCTCAGCCCTTTTATCTACAGGAACCCACAAAGGGGCCAGAGGCAGAGAAGAGTGGAGGCTAAAGTTCCTCTAAAGAACATGAAGTAATGACGTAAAGTAAAATGAAGTGATTAATTCTCTCTGCACCCAGAGACCTCTTGATTGCTATTGGCCCTACACTGTACCCTTTGAAGATTCTAGGCCTTGCTAGAGCCAGTAGGTCAAGGGGGCAGAGAGCACCAGCAGTGTATAGGACAAACTCTCCCTCTCTGGAAGACAGGAGAATTCAAGAAAGTATCTCCCTAGCTATTTGCAAAAACCTTGCTTCTTCAGTTGTTCCTTTCAGAGATGTCACTTGAAAAATGGGGTGAGATTGGTGCCAGTGTAAACATCCCCAAGGCCAGAAGCCCCCTCTTCAGCACCCACAACATGGCAGCCTAAAAACGGTAGGTACAGGGGAAGCTGGCAAAGGACCTGGCTTCTGTGTGGACCAACGAACAGGGGTCCTGCAAGGGATCCCATTCTTGCCCCTGTCTTGAGAACATGACCAGATATGCTAGCCTGGTAGCTTCTGGGGGATTAGGAGCTGTCACTGCATTGGCGGGTGTGGTCAGCATGGGTCCACATGCAGTTCTTGAGGTCCCTTATAGGCCTGGTAGCAGGGCCAGTGGTGACATGGGTAAAACTCCTCTATCAGGCAATGACCAGATAAGAGTGGGCACAGCATGGGTTTCCACAAGCTTACACCAGGCTGTGCATAAGCTTTCTACCAAGCTTACACATGGAGCCGGAAGAGCAGTGTGATCATGAGCAATGTACTGTACACTGCCGCATGCCCAGAGCCTCACCAAGCCCAGGGTCTCACCATGCCCAATCATCTGGCTGCCCAGGTTGCAGATGCCCAACAGCCTACTTGGTAGGAGCTGCTTTACAGTCCTGGGGCTATGGGATGTCTAAGGTTAGTTGGCAGCCAGCATCAAATGCATCCACTTCATCTTGGGTGATGAGACTCAGCTTGCCATAGCCAGCACAATTGTGAAGCCCAGCATACTGTAGCTTTGAAGCAGTAGGCCTCAATGGTCTTTGTGAGGCCTTGTGAGTGGTGGTGTCAAGTGAGTAGAAAGGCCACATTTTAAGGTAGGGCCAGGCCATGCAGATAGATGATGGCAGTGCAAGTCCACAAGCACTGGGTGTCTACTGTAAATGAAATGACGTGACAGTCACATGATGTTGACACACAAGAGCATGAGGGTCGCAGTTTGGTCCTGGGTCCACTAAACATGCTGAAGAGCCATAATGCACAGAGAAGAAAGTAGACTGCAGAGCACCCACTGCTAGCCTACACACAGGTCCACAGGAGGCAGGAGTCCTATGAATGTGCCATGTACCTGAACAGGACTTAGCCAGATTGGAACCCATAGGGCCTGGGAGGGCCCTCTGGTGGCCACCTTGCTAGGCCTGGTCTACCTCTGCAGGGCCTTTCCCCCAGCAAGTAGTGCTGCAAAGGGTTGGACCACAGGTCATCTTTAATGATCTTGGCAACCCTGTCAACCTCTGGGAGGCTGTGTTGTGAAAACCAACTGAAGAAGCTTTGCATGGTGTCCCGATTCCTGTGCACTAGGGCAGGGGGTTCCTGTCCTCAGTGCTAGCGGATGGGAGTGGCGATGGCCACCACTCGGCCGGAGGATCTACACTCATACTCCTTCACTATCACCTTGTTTCGGAAGTAAGGGTTGCTCCAAAACCAGAACTTGAACTTGCAACCTGTTCTGGTGTGCCTAAGCTCCCTCACCTGCAAATTCATCAGGTAGCCAAGGATGTCTTCATCCCGGGGGCTGATGGGGGCTGACAGCTGTGGGTGGTTCAGGAAGGCAGTGACCCAAAAGCCCGTAATGTTCTGGATGATGAATCTCCTGCAGACTAGGTGCAACCGGCGCACCACCCTCCCAAACCTGTGCTCGAGCCGTTGGTAGGCCCTGTCCGCCTGGGCACTCACGGCCTCCAGCTCCCACTGGATGGCCTCCAGCGGGGCCACAATGAGCGCCCCTAGATTCAGAGGCCCCAGGCCTGCATGGGACTCCAGCTTCTCCCCCGCCTCCAGTGCCACGGCGCCCTGCTCAGTCGTCACTTCCTCGGCCGACAGGTCGGCTGCCTCCCGAGTCCCCGAGCCCTCCGCACCACCTCCCCGGATCACGACGCTGGCAGCGGGGGCCACAGGGCCCAGGGTTCCCAGTTAGGGCGCAAGACGCCGAGGCCAGGCGTGTGCCTGGCTCCTGTCCAGGCGGCGGGCGCGCGGAGGTTTCCAGGACCTCGATCCTCTTGTTCTCCATCACCTGCGAAGTTGATCTCCATCACCCAGCTGAAGTGGTTGGGGCGTACCCGCGAGACCGTGGATTCTGCAGATCCTGCTGCAGCTCCAGGCAGCGGAGCGCTGGCGGGAGGTGGGGTCTCCTCCGGGGTGAGCTCCGCCCCTTACCCCCGCCCCCCGCCCGGATGTGACTTGCTAGGGCCCCTCCACTGCCGGGACCGAGAAGACGAGATCACGGGTGCGAAACAAAAGTGGTCCCAAATTACTCAGGCAGGTGATGGAGGAAGAAATGCAGGGCTGGACTAGGAAAGGGGCAACGGGCGTAGGCACCAGACCACGCCCAGTCCCCAGACAGGGTTACAGCCTTCTCTTCACAGCCAGCAAGCCAGGTGAGAACTGTTCCCCCTTGCCCGACTCTGCAGTTTTGGGGCGGGCAGCCGGGCACCCACAACCTTCCACGATATATTATTCTAGCACAAACGCAGGGCCCGAGAGTTGTCCTTATAAAGACTGATCAGATTCAAAGTGAAGGTAAGCATAACTGTCAGGCAAACGAAGCGCTGGAAATGCTGGAAAGGAAGACAGTGGGAGGATCTGAGAGGAAAAGTCTTAGGTATTTACGTTCTGCAAACCTGGAAGCAAGCGCCATCTGCCTGGACCTCCTGGGCTAGTTTAGCTGAGACTGGGTGGACCTTGCTTCACATGGCCCAAGCCCAGGGATTCCACGCTTTGCCCCGTGCCAACCACGTCATCAGGGTGGACTCTAATGGCTACCTGAGACTTCTGAGAACAGGGGGCTTGTGTAGTAGTACACACCTTTAATCCCAGTACTTGGAAGGCAAAAGCGTAATACTTTCTGAGGTCAGTCTGGTCTACATAGCAAGTTCTAGGCCAGCCAGGGGTACATAGAGCCTATCTTAAAAAAAAAAAAAAAAAAAATCTAGTCTGAAGTGCTGGGTCTAGGCCTAGGTGGACTGGGTCTGGATGGACAGCCTGACTCCACAATGGTGCAAATATCAGGTGTGGGTAAAGCTGAGTCTTTCACAAGTTAAGCACCTTGGGGAATCTGCAAAGGGTTCTCCTCCTGGTCAGCACTGTGTGCAAGACACCTAAAATCAGGGCACCATTTCACTCCTACACAAAGGAGATCCTATTTCTAGGGCCTGAGGATTAAGTCGAAGTTCTCCCCTCAGCCCCCCATATATGAGGGGCACAGAGAACTAGGAATGTGGAGGTCACACATTTGACCACCTTTGGATCAAACTAACGTGAAGGCCAAACTACACCTGGCATTTTTAGCTACAAAGAACTTCACTTTTTTGTCTCAAGCCAGGGTCTCCCAGTGGCCCTAGCTGGCCTGGAACTTGCTATCTAACCAGGCTGGCCTCAAACTCACAAAGATCAACCTGCTTCTGCTTCCCAAACGCTGGCATTAGTCTGCACCCCACATCCAGTTTAAGAACTTCACTCTTTAAAGCTGATTTGATCTGTGTTTTCCGACCTTTACATCCAAGATTAATTGATACAATGATGCCACATACCTCAAAGACATCCACCAGTTGAAATATACTGTCTGTCCCTCACCAGCATCACCTTAGATCCTGAAGATGTCAGGATGTTCCTACTCTTCACAATTTCAGATGCATTCCAACCCTTCCCCAACAGACAGTTCCACAAGTGCAAAGCACATCATTCAGAAGTTTTTAATAAACAACTTCATTATAAAAGCTTTTTCTGAAAATGTAATTCTGTAAAACATTGAAAAATCTACTTTAACAAAGATATGCCCTGTGCATTTTCTAATGGCACTTATATTTTACAATTAAAAACCTTGTTTTATATAAAGCCAAAAATACTCCAAGAGGTTATTCACTGTGTTTACAAAGTGCTAGGTTTTTGTCTTGTATTTTTCTTTCTTTAAATAATCTGGCATTAAAGAATGGCTCCAGAGCCTCAACCACTGGGAGGGAGGGAAGGGTGTTGAAGAAGAGTTCAGGGGTTCTAGTGCCAAGTATGCAGAGGTGGAAAGGTGCACAAGAGAGAATCAGTGAAGAACGCCAGCCAACACCTGAGGCAAGTGAACTGGAACGACTCCACCAGCACTAGGCTACACCAAACACCCTTTCCATACCACAGACCCTACTCTCCAGCGGTGAAGGTCACAGCCAATTCCTTCCACAGCAGGTTCAGAGCTCCAGGAGAGGCCAGGGTAAAGTCCCAGAGGAATCTAGACTTTTCTGGCCAACACCTGCCTAAGGCAAAGTTTCTTATTACATAAATATCCTTGTTAAAAAGCAAAATATTGATCCTGTACAATACAACCAGTTTTTTAAAAATCATGGAGAAGGGGTGAAAAAAAAGAGCTACCAAAAAGGGAAGGGGAAACTTAAAAGGCTACTAAGGAAAGTTTAGGGCTATGAGCAAATTTCAACTTAGGACAATATCTACGAGCAAAAAAGTAATCACATCTGCTTCCCAGATTTCCATTAACAAAATGCATGTGTAAAATGTTGGGGAGAAACACATTGGTGCACTTTTCCCTGCCTCACTTGGTTAAGATGGTACCAGGATCCTTTTGAGCCAACACCTAGGCATGCTAGCTCCTGGCCCCCAGGACAGTCCTCAACCCTGACCAGTTACTGTGCAGGTGAGATTCCTGTCCTCTGTACAAGTCAGCTCATTGCTAACAGACTAGCGGTGGCAGGGAAAGGGGATATCATTCTTTTCTGGTCCCTGATTGGTCTGCCACATGCCATGGTTCCTGTCCTGGGCAGATGCCCCTCTGGTTCTCTTAACCTCACAAGGGGGAACTAAGCACAGGATAAAGTTATTCTTAACAGCTGGGCCAAAAAGGCTTTTAGGTGGTAGGGTGGGGAAAGGTTTAAGAAACTGCAGGGTGGTTTATGGTCCAAAAAAAGTGAAGGCAGATAACCAACAAGTTCACAGTGACAGGAAATTCCTTATGTTCAGGGCACTGAGAAAAATGGAGAAAGGACAGGGATGAGGGAAGGCATAGAGAAGAGCTAGGAGGTGGGAGCAAGGCCCCAGTTACAAGAGTTGCAATAGGTGCTCTGCTGTCCTGTGAGTACTAGAGGAGGAACAAGCTCAATAAAGGACAAGAAAAAGGGTAGGCAGAGAACAGGTCTTTTCCAACAGCCCAGTATACTATACTTTGTGGGCAGAAGCTACTGGCCTCTGTAACTGAAGGTACAGGGAGGTGGCAGGCAAGGGGAGAAGGGGTCCTGGGTCTAGTGAAGCCCAAACACAAGGAGAATGGCAGCAGTCTCACTTCAATTCTCACATGCCATTTCCTGTAATACAAGTCCTGACAACATGTACAGCATGCAGGAGATGGCTGCATACCAAGGTTGACGCTTTTAAAAAGACCTTAATTAGTCCCTGGGACTCACTGAAACTAATTTTTATAAGCAAATCACCTAGTCTGATTCCAACCCTGTCAGGCATATTTTTATCTTTTTTTAAAAAAGGTATTCCAAGCTACCTTGTTTAAACCAAAACACGGTTATTCACTCTACATTGCTTCCAATGAAGGGCCAGGGAGCTAAATCTGAAGGCTTTCATCTCACACAAGGAGTACGAGTACTGGCCTGGGCTGAAGCAGGAGTCCTGTTCCTGCACAGTTCCCAATGATAAACCGAAGTGAATCTAGACAGAAGAGGAGGTGGGGGAATTGAGGCAGTTCCTAGGTAGTCTGTCCTGAAACCCTAGTGGAGAAGCCAGCATGAGGCAGTACTAACAGACGTGCCCAGATTGCTGGCTGCCATCTGTAGGAGTTAACAGTAAAGAGGTAGAAGTGTGTTTCTGAATCAGAGAGGTGTCTCAAGCGGTTCCACAATGGTGGTCCCTGAGCTGCCTCCCTTCCATGCATGGGAAAAGCCCATACAGAACTGAGATGAAATGGAGTGAGGGATTCGGCTGTGTCTGGGCAAAGGCTGTGCTATCTGTGGCAGGGAGCCCCACAAAACAAGAGAGAACTAAGCACTTCTTGCAAGAAATCTTACTAGGTAACAACTGAGGAGACCATGAGAGGGTGGAAAGCCCTTGATGAAGCACAAAGAAGCCTATGCACAGTGCCCAGAGTCCATGGGGACTGCAAAGCAGAGAAGACAGAGACACTGGATACAAAAAAATTTGGTATGGGAGGCAACAATGATTTGACTGATTAGGACTCAACTATTTGTCCAGTCCTAACTTTCTGGAAACTAACAACTCCACTACTTCCTGGAGAAGGGATGAGCAAATGAGGGGCTCATTCCCTCTCCTTTGAGATCCAGCCTAGGAATCGGAGCCACTCCCTCCAATAGCTCATGATGTTTAGGGTAGGGTCAGGGACTGGGGAGATGATGGATGTGGGGATGCCCTTCATTTCTTCCCCTCTCCAGTTCAAGAAAATGAAGGTGTCATGATGTACTTGGAGAAAAACCAAATCGCAGACCTGTGAGAAAGCTGCTCCGATCTTCCTGCCGGTCTCCCGTGGACACTCACGGAAGGCAGGAATAGACAGTCATGGAAGATGGCAGAAACTGAAGCAGTCCAAAGTCAGTTTATTTCCCCACAGGGGAAAAATGTGACCTCAAGTGAAGAGAAGTCAGCAAGACCCAACTCCGCCTTGTAAACAGGGCTCCAGTTAACACCAGGTACCAAGTGGTGCAGGCTGGTGGCAACTGAAATGGGACTGGTGGGAATGGATTCATGGTGTGTAAACAGTGTTCACTGCAATCACTCTAAGGCTAACAGTGTGGCAAGGGAGGTGAAATGGTGTGTCTGAGGCGAATGTGTAAACGGTACCGTTGCTGGACAACACTGAAAACGGGGCTGCTGGTAGAGTGGGGATGGGGTGGTTGAGAGGAATAGATGCCCTCTTTCCTGCCTGGTAGCTGGAAGCAGGTGATAAGAGTCCAGAAACCTTCCAGCAGGTACTGACCAACCGATTGCTGTGGAGTCTGTAGGCTGGGACCAGAAGGCGGGCTTCTGGGGCTATTTCTCTTGAGGTCATACAAAGTGAAACCCTCTATGCCTTCAAGAGGCTTCCTTCGCCTTCTCCAAAGAGAAAATGGTTCTGATGCTCTGGAGAGACAGAGGGCTAAATGTGGCTCCCAGTTCAGATTAAAAATTAAAAGTAAAAATACCTGAAAGTCCTATGATAGATCGTTCAGGAGGCTGGGCTCAAGGCTCCCTCTGGAATTGATCCTGGAGCCTGAACCCCCAAACCAAGTGCTCCATCCACATAAACATTGGAATTTTCTTTTTGAACCCAACTCTGAAAGCTCAGCTGCCTTCATGGGGCAAGTGGAAGGGGTGGGTACTTAAGATTCCCAGGCAGAACCAAAGACTGAGTGGGAGTACCTCCGTGGGGCTACTGGAATGCTTGATGGAAACGAGGCAGGGTGGTAGTACTCAGGCCAGAGGTGAAGACAGGAGGCAAGGAGTGCAGAGGCCCAAAGTTCAGAGGTCCCCCAGCTCCAGGGGAATCTTGAGGCTGAGCTTGCAAAGTGGTGAGCAGAGGCTGCGCTTCAGCCTGGGAGTAGCCCATGACCAAGCCTCCCGTGGCCCCTGGCGGGTTACATGGGGGCAGGTTGAGCGGCAGAAAGCCCAGTAAGTGGGAGAAGTCCACATTAGCAGCGCAGAGGGCCTCAGAGAGGTTGGCCGGGCTCTTGGTGAGCAGTGCTTCATCTAGGAGGGCCGCAGCTGCCGCCGGTTGAGGTGAGGCGGGCTGGGGTTCCGCAGAGGAGAGAGACAAGCTTCCAGGAAGTTCCGCCAGAAAACTATCCACCTCCACTTTGGGTAATTTGTCGGGCAAGTATGAGGTAGATCCAAGCTGATATTTTGGAGGGAGCTGAGCTGAGGAGGAGATAGGAGAGGATTCCAGAGGGTAACTCATACCCATGGGCAGCGTGTTGTGCACCAGGGAGTGTGGCATGCCCGCACTGGGCATGGGAGGGATGTGGGTACCATACATGCCCATGGGCAACATGCCAGGAAAAGTCTTGGCCCCCATCACGTCCCGAGAAGCCATGCAGAGCACAGGGCTCAGCTCTTCCTTTACACTGACTGTGGAGCTGCAACTGAGTAAGCCTAACATGTCCACTGGTTCTGTCTTGATCTTGAGCAGCTCCTGTGAGTGGCTCTTCTTGACATGGCGTGTCAGGTGATCCTTGCGGCCAAACCTCTGGGCACAGTACTGGCATAGGAAGTCCTTCCGGCCTGTGTGCACCACTAGGTGCCGTCGTACATCCTTCCGAGTATAGAATCGCCGGTCACAGTGGTCACAGGGGTGCTTCTTCTCCTTGGCACCTCCTGCTACCCGGCGTGAGTGGGCCTTTAGATGCTCCAGCAGGGCCTGGGTACTCTCAAAGGTCTGCAGGCACACCTTGCAGCTGAGGTCACCACTGCTGGCAGCATGCATGGCCAGGTGGCGACGGTAACCTAGCTTTGTATTGTAATTCTTACCGCACTCGGAGCAGTGGAGGGCCTCTTTGTTGGGGTCGTGGGTCTGCAAATGGTTGCGCAGATGGTCCTTTCGGTGAAACATCTTATCACAGTACATGCACTGGTGGGGTTTCTGGGCCGAGTGAGTGGCCATGTGCCTGGGAGTAGGAATTGAAAATGGGGAGAAAGCTGAAAGAGGGAAGCTCATGGGCCTTACTAAATAGCTGAGATGTCTACTGACAGGAAACTGCACGCAAAAACTTGGTAAGGTAGCTGGGCATGGTGGTGTACACCTTTAATCCCAGCACTTGGGATTAAATCTGCCAGCAGGGGCAGGCAGATTTCTGTGAGATCCAGGCCAGCCTGGTCTACATAGTGAGTTCCAGGCCAGCTGGAGCTACAGGGAGACCCTGTCTCTTAAAAAAAAAAAAAAAAACTTGGTAAGGCAATGCAATGGAAAACCATGCTACCTACCTATCAGCATCCCTGCAAATTATGCATGAACTGCCATTCTTGGCAGACTAGCCTTAATAGCAAAAAAATCAAGATGAATTGGAATTTATTAATAGGGTACTAGTTACATAAATATGCTAGACCTACAACATGACTCCACTATTTTTTAAAAATGGGTTTTCACCCAGGCGTGGTAGCACACGCCCTTAATCCCAGCACTCAGGAGGCAGAGGCACATGGATCTCTGTGAGTTCAAGGCCAGCCTGGTCTACATAGTGAGTTCCAGGACAGTTGGGGCTATAGGGAGACCCTGTCTCAAAAAGACCGAAAAAAAAAAAAAAAAAGGGGGGGGGGCTTTTTATGTACCTTCAGGGAATAAGCTCTTTAGAGACATTATGAAAAAAAAAAAAACAACAGCACATGGAGAATGGTGCTCTGTACACAAAAAGTATTCATGCTTGCTTGTTATATGCCTAAAATATTTCTGGAAGGATAGAGAAGAAACTGACATCTGACATCAGGGCTGGAGAGATGGCTCAGTGGTTAAAAGCACTGTCTGCTGTTCCAGAGGACCTGGGTTCAGGTCCTAGAACATACATGGTGGCTAACAACCCTCCTTAACTCTTAATTCCATCCTTAACTCCAGAGGATCCGACACCCCTCTTCTGGCCTCCTCAGATATTGCACAACATGGGTGCACTTACCTACATGCAGGCAAAATAACACACATAAAAGTAAATTAAAAAGCCGGGTCTGGTGGTACACACCTATAGTCCCAGCAAGTTCAAGGCCAGCCTGGTCTACATAGTGAGTTCCAGGACAGCTGGGGCTACAGGAAGACCTTGCAAAAAAAAAAAAAAAAAAAAAAAAAAAAGTAAATTTAAAAATTAAAAATAAGAAAAAGAAACTGACATCACTGGTAGTCTATAAGAAAAAAACCAACAGGCAGCTTATAGATGGGCCTGATGGAGAATTTTCATCATAAACCTTTTTTTTTTCTTTGGTCTTTTTGAGACAGGGTCTCCCTGTAGCACCAACTAACCTGGAACTCACTATATAGACCAGGCTGGCTTTGAACTCAGAGAGATCTGTCTGCCTCTGCCTCCTGAGTGCTGGGATTAAAGGCTACGTGTACCACCACGCCTAGTCTTCATTGTAAACCTTGTAATATCTCCTGAATTTTGAATCCTGTAAATGCATTTCCTCTTTAAAAGTTTACACTTAATTTTTTTTTTTTTTTTTTTTTTTTTTGAGACCAAGTCCTGTAGCCCCAGCTGTCCTGGAACTCACTATGTAGACCAGGCTGGCCTCGAACTCACAGCGATCCGCCTGCCTCTGCCTCCTCAGTGCTGGGATTAAAGGCATGCGCCACCACGCCCAGCTATTTAAATTTTTTAAATGACACAATAAAAGGAAAAATGAAATATATGTAAGCTTCCTGATCTGGAACAAGTTCTCAAGACATACAAGACCAAGTCAAAAAAGGAAGTTCAATAGTGCACATAATACAATCCCTTTTGAAAATAAAAACGGCAGTATATATGTGAATATCTTAAGGATTCATAAGATATTAAGCCTACCAGCTGCTTTGGGAGAGGCTTCAATTGTAAGGACAATTCATTTTTCACTGCAGCCCCATTTGTATCATATCAACTACTGACCATGTAACCAGTAATACCTTACAGATGTTTTATTGGCATAGTACCTAAGTGTTCCTTAGTTCACATGCTCCTATCTGGTTGAAAAGCAGTTCATAGCTTGGAATCACAATCCACAGCTCCATACACATTCAGAACCAACTCAATGAGATTGTGAGAACCCACCATTTTCCAGGCTCTGGGTAAGGAGGTAAAGCATGGAGTAGCCTCACCTACCAGTTGGTGGCAGAGGCTGTATTTAAACACTGACCCTTCCTGAGAAAGCACATCACAGCTGCCTCTAATATAGCACCTGGGACCCCTTCCATCTGGAGGACTACCTTGTGTTACATGTGTGCTCATGCTTATGCACTCAACCTCCTGTGACATGGCTGACAGGATGACCTATGAGAGGGATTCAGTCTATTTCCTTCATTTTGCAGGTAGGGAAACCAAGGCCCCAAGTGGTTTAGAAACTCACCAAAGATCACAAGTGAATTATGTCAGGCTTCTTGCCTCTTAGACCAGGACTTTTCCTCCTAATGGCACCCAGACCACCACTAAGAAAGTCTAAGAGGATGACCCTGACTAGGGTCCCCTTAAGATATAGAAGTACACAGAGAATCAAAACATTACTAGGTCCACAGAACTGTTCCAAGGGCAATCCAAGCCTCCATGTGACCTACGTTTGTTGGTTCCTATCAGTTGCTTTCCAGAGAAGGAACTATGACTTTCTGTGGTCAACTTGTTTGCTGTCTGTCTCCACAGTTAGGGAGGCAGAAGCAGGTGGATATCTATGAGTTCAAGGCCAGTCTCTACAAGGAGACCTTGTCTCAAAAAGACAAAAAGCTAAATTCAAGGTTTTTACCTGTGTATAAAAAACAAAAACAGAGCCAGACATGGTAGTGCATGCCTTTAATCCCAGCACCCAGGAGGCAGAGGCAGGCAGATCTCTGTGAGTTGAGGCCAGCCCTTGTCTCAAAAAGACCGAAAAAAAAAAAGAACAGGGGCTAGAGAGATGGCTCATTGGTCAAGAGCACTGACTGCTCTTGCAGGGGACCCAGGTTGAATTCCCAGCACACACATGGTGGCTACAAACCATCCTTAACTCCAGTTCTAAAGGAATACGAAGCCCTCTTCTGACCTCGGAGGTACTGCATGACACGAGTGCACTCACATATATGCAGGCAATACACTCATGCACATAAAATAAAAATAAGTATTTAAAAAGCAAAAACAAAAACAAGCCAGGCAACACACATTTAATCCCAGCACTTGGGAGGCAGAGGCGGGGGATCACTGTGAGTTCAAGGCCAGCCTGGTCTACATCGTGAGTTCCAGGCCAGCTGGGGCTACAGGGAGATCCTGTCTCAAAAAGACCAAAAAAACAAAAACAGAAGGGTCAGCATCCCCATTTTTCTAAATCTTCTGAACACACTGTTATATAGCAGGGGATTAATAAATAGTTGGAGAGATGAATGGTTAGATGACTATGCAGCACCAGGCTGGTCTACCTCACTTGATGGTTCCTCAGAAGATACGTAGCTCTTATCAGGTACTCTCCCTAAGAATGATGCTCAGCCCTATCTGCCTTATCAAGGGCTTTCACATTCTCTTTCACTTTAAGTAAGGGTTCTCGGGCTTACATATTTCAGGAAAGGATTGACCCACAGAGCACCAGGGACTCTACAGAAACACAAGTAACCATCTGAGTAGCAGGCTGAGTCAGTAAAAGCTATACCACAGGACCCAAGAAACTGTGTGAGCTTAGCTAAGTCATGTTCCTGCTCTGAGCCTCAGCTGTAAAATAGACTAGACCAGAAGGTTTCCCTTTCTTTTTAAACTTCCAAGGCTGATTTCCAACATCTGGCAAAGATTCTGAAAAATCTGCCTGACAGGAGTGGAGAAGGCAGTACTATAAACAGAGTTCAGTCAAGTTTGTTCATGGGTGCTTGATGTTGTACTCCTCAGATTCCAGAGTCTGAATAAAAAAATACCACCATTACGTGAGAGGCTAAAGCAGGAGGATTTCAAATTCAACATCAGCCTGGGTTACATAAGGAAATCTTGTCTCACACACATGCGCACACGCACACGCACACACACATACTTTTGTTTGCTATATTTAAAAATTACAGTGTGTGCTGGGCGTGGTGCACACCTTTAATTACAGCACTCAGAGGCAGAGGCAGGTGGATGACTGTGAGTTCAAGGAACTCAAATTGTAAGGATTGACAGAAAGCACCTTTACTCTATAAGCCATCTCACTGTCCCCTGTAAGATTTGTTTTGAGACAGGGTCTCATTCTGTAGCCCAGGCTAGCCTTGAATTCATGGTGATCCTTCTGTCTCAGTCTTGCAAGTACTAGGATGGCAGGCATAAGCCACCATGCCCAGCCAAACACTACTATTATTCACTGAGTAACTTTAAATGGTTACAGCTCAGATTGTACTTACAGGACAAATTTGTCCTTCACTCTGTTGCTACCAATAAAGCCCCACTCAGTGGAGCCTCTCTGGTTCTGAACTCTGGGAACCTGGGGACCAGAAGAGGTATGAGAGTGTCACCTACCTATATAGCTTATACTTAGAAGCAAAAGCCTTGCCACAGTGCAGCTGAGGGCAGCTATATGGTCTCTGCTCTGGATGGGGAAGGCTATGAGGCCGTAGCTTCTCCCCAATAAAATAGCCCTTTTCCTCCTCTTGAGTTGGAATGTAGCATAGCATTGAGGCATGCGAGAGGGGATGTTCCACTTCTATATAGCTTATAGTTAGAAGCAAAAGCCTTGCCACAGTGCAGCTGAGGGCAGCTACATGGTCTCTGCTCTGGATGGGGAAGGCTATGAGGCCTTAGCTTCTCCCCACTTGAGAAGGGTGTCCCCGAGATTTCACATTGGCACTTCACTTAACTCTCTGCCTCCCGGGCCCGAGGCCTGGGAACTAGGTTCCCGCCCACTTCCTCCTCCTGCTTTGCATCTTGAATCCAGGGAGGGACGCTGGTGAAAAATGTGGTCATGGCAAGGCTAATGGCAAATGGCCATGTTATTCAGAAAGCCTCCCCTTCAGCTCCACATGAGCTCTCTGCCTTGTCACAGCCTCCAACGCAGCCTTCAGAAAACAGTCTCTTCACCTGAAACATCAGAATACCTGGTGTTAGGAAGCCCATCCCAAGAGAACACATGCTCTGGCGGCAGACAGCTCCCACCCCAAGCCCAACCATTTCCTCCCACTCAGAAGTGGTGTGACTTTCAAACAAACACCTCCCTGACCTCCTTCCCTATTTACAAAACAGACACAATAATCTCCAAAATCATAACAATGTTTTGAAGCTTAGATGAAGTCATGAATATAAAGCATCCACAAGTACTTACTGCTTACTAATGCTCAGTAATAATTATTATTACTAGTAATATCTAGGCTAAGAAGAAACAAGATAATCTGAGGAACTAAAGACTCAAAAATTCTAAACTTTCTCTTCTGATTTCACTTTTACATCCTCCCATGAAACCTGGATAGCAGTTCTTCCTCCTCCTCTTTATCCTACTCCCCCCATCTGTTTTCTACAATCCTCCTCTTCATAGAGGTGCTAAGGAGCAATAAAACACCCAAAAGGCAAGCGAGGTTGAGCATCCTTTACTCAGGAGGTTCACACCCCGAGAGCCAGCCCCTGTGCCACATGTGCTTCTCAGTAGAGCACCAATGCCACAAGGTTCCTTCTGAGAAGGCAACAGTGGTCTCAGCATTTTCCCTAAACTAGTGCCATTTTGGCCACCTTTCTGGGTCTTTCTGGTCTCCAGACCTAACTATGCCTCTTTACCAAAGCTGCCTGACAAACCAAGGTGCTGAGTGGTCCCATCTCAGGGTACACATGCACTTCGCCATTAGGAAGGTAACATTCTTGGATTAAAATTTAGTCTTCTCCTTGGGCTGAAGAGATGGATCAGTGGTTAAGAACACTGGGCTGTTCTTGCAGAAGACCCAGGTTCGAATCTCAGCACCCACATGGCAGCTAACAATTATCTGTAACTCCAGTTCCAGGGGATCCGACAGCCTCTTCTGTCCTCCGCGGGCATTGCACGGCATGGGTGCACCTACCTACATGCAGGCAATACACACATACACATAAAATTAAAATATAAAATATTAAAAAAAAATAGCTGGGCATGGTGGTGCACACCTTTAATCCCAGCACTTGGGAGGCAGAGGCAGGTGGATCTTTATGCGTTCGAAAAAAAACTTAGTTTTCTCCACCTGATGATTCTCTCAGGGATTCTTTTTTTTGTGGGGGAGGGTCTTTTTGAGACAGGATCTCCCTGTAGCTCCAATTGGCCTTGAACTCACAGAGATCTGCCTGCCTCTGCCTCCTGAGTGCTGGGACTAAAGGCGTGTGCCACCACGCCTGGCTTCTATCAGATTTTTTAAAAATTTTTTATGTGTATGAGTGTATTACCTGAATGTGTGTAAGTGCACCTGTGCTGTACAAAGCCCACAGAGGTCAGAAGAGGGCATTAAATTCCCCTGGAACTGGAGTTATAGGCAGCAGCCAGCTACCATGTGGGTGCTGGGAATCGAACCTGGGTCCTCTGCAAGAGCTGCCAGTACTCCTAACCACTGAGCAATCTCTCCAGCCCCTTATCAGATTTATCTTCATATACCTAACATCTAGAAAAGGAATCTCAACTTTCCTTTAGATGAGTAAATTAGTCATCGAACTCAAGTTGATTCTCAACAACTTAATTTATACCCAGAAGTTCTAGTTTAAACTGGGTTCACAGCCCTTCCAAAGTAGGGAGTCAAAACCTTGAAATCTGACCCTTTCTCTTCTTGGTAAAAGTGGCATAGTAAGAGAGAGGAAGGCTGGAGCAACAGTGACACAACTCCTTCCCTGAGACCAACTCAAGAGATGATGCAAATTTGATCATGAGGCTTTTCCATGTGAAGAGATCAATGATTGCATCCAGGGATTGGCCATAGGAGTCTGGGGAAGGCTCCAACTGCACAACTAGCTATGGGCCAGAGTGCTTGCTCAGCTCGTTAGCACCTGCTGCTTACAGTGACCATTCATCCAATAGACTGGCCATGAACGAGATGATTGTATCAGCGAGTTCATGCCCCAGAGAGCTTTGCTCATCATAACACGAGCTGCATCCTGTTCAGGAACCATTCCTCTTGTTGAGAAAGCAGTGCAATGTAATATGACAAACATTTCCCATCACAAATGGAGATCTGCCTAGAAAGATCTGCACAAAGTGGATGTACTTTGGGTGAATCATGTACTGGGGAGGCGAGGGAAGCACTAAAAACTAGACCCACTTGAGCCTCCGCGTCATGGCATACCTGCCTGCTTCGCTATACACCTCAAAGACCTCAGACGACTGGTTTTCATTGTTTAAATTCCCTCCTCCTGCACAAGGGTGGAATTACCTGTTTATAATACCAGCGATTACTATGTACCTTGAAATTGGGTAGCGTGAGCTCCAGTGTATATGTCTACTTTGGAGGGAATTTCCCCTACCTTGAAAGTCAAATTCTGCTCCCATTTCATATCTGAATCACACACCTCAGCCTATGAAAGCTGGGAATGGCAGCCAGAGAGAAGCAAGTCCCATCACTTCGACTGATGTGAGAGGAGAGCCTAGCTCTGGAAATTCCGAATAAACTCAGAAAGAGAATGGTACATCCCCACCTCCCACACATTCACCATATCTGTTCTCTAGAACATGCACAAACAAGATACAGCCAGTTCAGCATGCTGCACTGAAAGAGTGAGTAATGGGCTTCTAGGAAAGTGGCTGGTGGTGGCTGAGAGGCGCTCATGAGGTTGCACTGAGAACCATGTGCTCACCTTGATCAGCACTTAATGAGGTTATGGCTTTAAAAAGAAAAGAGCAACCACCTTGATCCTACTCTCTAGGCCTTTAAAAGTCATAGCAAAGTCTTTACCTACAGTCAGTCACCAGCAGGCTGCTGGGCAACCACAGTTGCTGGTAATACCTAGGAACTCTTGGGGAGCTAGTCTTTCCCTGTGTCCCTTGCATACTCCTCTGAGCCCCCAAAATTCCTGGATTTGGCTCATACAGTCAGACCTATTCCTCAGACTTCTTGTCAAAACAAAGAATTTTGCTTCTCTTTCAAAGCTGTTCTTCTGGTCTCATACTCTAACCATAGCTATAGAGAAGCTGACAGAACCTGTTCCCATAAAACAAACACAATCCCTCCCAGTTACTGGTATAACTCACTATATTTTCAGCCCAAGATTCTTTCTGGCATCTGATCTGAAGGGGGAGGCAGCATGGAAAGAACCTTGGACTTGTTATCAAAAGAGCCGCCACTTGCTGTGAAACCACAGGCAGGTTACTTTATTTCTCTGAACCTCACTCTCCTCGATTTCCAAAACACAGATTTATTCCCCTACCCTATAAAACTCTTCTAGAGGATTGAGTCAAAGATACTGTTGAGTGACATGAATGTGCTAAGCATATACAGTGCCCTCTCTGAGGTCCTGTTGCCTCTGCCTCTCTTTAGCACAGTGCCCAAGTACTACTTTTCCTTCTGAGTGTTACTTCTCATGCCTCAGTTTCCTTCCCTTCCCAACATCTCCCCAAAGTGCAGCCTTCCTCTTTTCCCTCACAACTAACCCCCAGTACCACCCTTTACCTTCCTCTGGCACATCTCCTGGGCCAAAGTTTTCTCTAGCCTCAACAGCCACTTTATAACACCCCCTTCTATTAAGTTCCATGCCTGAAGTAGGAATGCTTGCTCAATACTCTGTATGGCCTTTGGAAGGTCCTGTCTGTCTTCTGTTATATGCCATGATGTAGGTTGCCCTCTGATGAAACTATAGTTTTTATGGTGTTACATCATCTCTATAGAAACTGCATTCTTTCTCCATTATTAGCCTGTTTCCTCATCTGTAAAGCTAAAAATACTTACCTCACAGGCTTGTTGTAAGGATTATTTTAGTCAGGTATGCAAAGAGCTCAGCATTGGGTTTGGCCTGCTATAAGTACCCAACAAAAGAAAGCCATTATCGGGGTCTTTGTACTGAGTTGTGCACCTTCTGCTGCCACAGTTGTTTTTCCAACTCTCCCCAATAAGTACTGTTGAGATAGCCCTCCCACCCTGCAGCAAGGAACGGGTTAATCTCTTGAGTGTTCTTAACTAAAGAGACCCACAGGGGATTAACAGCTCCACTTCAGTGACTACCCTAAAATAGCTTTTATCCCTCCTGCCCAAGAGCTACTTGGGGATCTGAAGAACTCAATTCAACACCTGCCTAGGAAGAAACACACCCAGGAAACGTTCCTTGAGGTGGACAGAATCTTCCCTTAAAAGAACTCAAAATAGAAACTGGGAAATTATAAATAGAATTAGAGAGGGGGTAAGTAAAACAAAACAGGTTCTGACCTGGGACCTGGGACCTGGGCATCAGAAACAAATCCAAAAGGCACACTGGAAAAACGAGAAGGGAGAGGAATGGGAATAGCTGCCTGCTTCCCTCACACACAACACTCCAGGATGGTGAGAGAGTTAAATTACAGGGAGGCCAGAGAGTCTCAATGACTTGCATCATTCCAAAAAACATCAAACAGGATTAACAGGGGTTGGATTTACTCTCGGGCTGCTAGTTCTGTCAGTGTAGACGGGCCTCTTTGGAGCCCCTTTGATTCCCTATTTCCTCAGATTCCTGCTGTCTCCCACCCCTGGAGAGGCCTTGAGCAAACGGCTGTAACTCACTTCGACCTCATTTTCACAGGGAGGAAATCTGACTAGACATCACCCACCCCAATCCAGTGCCTTTCCCTAAGAGGGAACGGTTAGAGACCTAAGGCCAGGCTATCAGTCCCAGGCTGACAGGTGGAAAAACACACAAGCCAGCAGGCAGGCTACACCTACAGGTGAAATCACCGGCAACAGTTCCTGTTTAGGACCCTAAACCACAGCATGGGGAAAACATTTTGTGGAAAACAGTCTGGCTCTAAAGCCAGCTGCTAGACGACCCCATTTTGTGGTGGGAAATGTTAAATTCTGCCCACGAGTGAGAGGTTAGAGCGGGTCTGTGGGCAGAAGAGACAGGAATTCAGAAACAAGTCCCGGCTGGGGTCTTGGGGATGCCAAGGAACAACAAGCATGCCCTGCGAAGATGAACACGTTATCTGGGTCTCTAAGAGACCACCACGAGAAAGAGGTACCGGGATTCTAAGGGTCGGATACAAGTGAGTTCTCTGAATTTCAAGAGGGTCTACAAATGGGACCCTCCAGGTGGAATATGTCTCGAGTTTTGAAGAGTATGGTCACTGGGGCGCGAACTACAGGCTGGGGCTTATTTGGGTTCTTCAGACGCAGGTACTTGAGGGAAGCCTCCAAGTAAGCTTAAGAAAGTCTGGAAAATGAAAGGGAGAGGGCGAAGAGCGGACTATTTGGCGCAGGAAAAGGGGATTATGTGGGTCGGGGTAGGCGCGTCTGAGAAGCGAGCAGGTGCAGCTTATCTATGCCCCCCAGACCCGGATCCCTCGTTAAGTTCCGCAGCGTGTTATCTGTGTCTCCAGGGAGTCGGGGAGAGGGGGGCGGGGGTTGAGGGACCCTCGGGGCTGCGATTCCAGTTCGAGGAAGGGAGGGGCCGGGAAGGTTAGTTCGTGTCCCCCAGGCACAGGGATGCGGTCCGGGGACTGCTTCCGTCACCCCAGGGGCCTATCCGGGCC